CAATTGTTTTTCACAAAATCAATTTGAAAACATGATAAAACACGATTCTGTCGCCAGAATAAAAGGGGGACAAATATCGAATTATACTTATTATAAAACCCAGGTTGTTTGTGTGTGTGTGTGTTCGTTTATATATGGGATCGGATTTCCTACATTTTTCAACCGATTTCAACAAAACTTCACTTTTTTTTAACAGGTAGTGTTTCTTATTGTCTTGCACACTTTTTTCTTTATATTTACATTCAGAATGCTTTAAAAAATCCATTTACTAGACAATTGTTTATAATAAAATTCTATTCAATCGATAGACTCATAATGATTGAAAACAATGTTTTTGTTTGAGTTTGACCAATTCGTTAACAAAAAAAATAATTAAGACATGCGTGTCCGTCAACCTTAAACAATAATCTTTGTCAGTTTTATTTTTCAGTCTTCATGATGGTCGATACTTGATCTATCTCTTACTGTTACATCCCCGGGCAACGCCGGGCTCTACTGCTAGTATATAATAGAATAGAAAACTGATAATTCTGTCAGTCACATATTTTCTACATTGTATTAAATTATGTAATGGATTAGCGTTTGTCTGTGTTTTGCACGCAAGTCTGACATGTGTCTGTGTGTACTTTTATAAATACGCAAGCATGCGTACACACATATTTTGGCAGAGGTATATGTAAGACATTGAAATAATACATTCCCCACCCAATCATTCCAAGCCACACCTGCCAAGCACTGAGAATTAAAATAAAAAAAAAAAAAAAAAACTGTGAAAATATTTTTAATCCAAAATAAACTCAGATAAGTATAAGATATTCTGAAATTTTCCGGAATTTATTCTGTGATAAATATAATTATTTTTAGAATTTATTTTGAAAATTATCTAGAAATATTTTCGATTTACCATTGAATTTATATATATATATATATATATATATATATATATATATATATATATATATATATATATATATATATATATGTATGTATGTATGTATTTAAACGCAGTACTAGATTGGCAACTAAGTCCCATCATTGTACAGTTTGAATGGCTACTAGATGCAGCCGAACGTTCATTGTTAACAGTTTCTACTATTACACTGATTGCTTGTGAAACTCTCTTCCGGCTTTTGTACTTTCTGACAATTGCGATCTTCGGCAAAGTTAACACATATAGTAATTTATTGGTTATTTCTTCCTGCTTTTTTTTGCCTTATTTATTAATGGGCATCTCTGAATCCTTATGAATACGTTGGACACTATTGCAAGTGGGCGTAATATGCCGTCTATGTAGTCCACAACTAGCAGAGGCTTATCTACTTCACACCGCTGGCGAGTAATGTATTTTGCTGATGTTATAAAGATTGCCATTTCATTTCCAACCTCCGTTTTGGTTACTCATCATTCAGTAACCCTTCCTAAGTTACAAAACTTTTAAAATTATGTATAATATTTTATATCTTATTTAAAGTACAAATCAAATATGTATGTTTCATGTGCTTTATTAAAGGATTCCTAGATCCCTTCATTTTGGGGATCGAAAGATTTCCCTCTTCTGTTAAGTCCATCCCATGGTAATACTAGCCCTGGATTCAAGCTTTAGTACTGTCGTATATATATATATATATATATATATATATATATATATATATATATATATATATATATGTGTGTGTGTGTGTGTGTGTGTGTGTGTGTGAAAATATATAGAAAATAGGAAAGAACTCGTTAGGTAAATAATCCAAAGTTCTTTAGTATTTTTTGTTATTATTTAAAAAAAAATAGTGCTCGATACAAAAGTAGAGCATAAATATAATTATTTATTTAAAAATATGATTCCAACTCTACATAAGAGTTCGAAAATAAATTTCGCTTGAAGAGGAACAGAGCTTACTACTTTAATTCAATTTAATTCAAATAATTATACTGAAGATTTCGGCTCTTGTCTTGAAACATGAGAACTCTTATGTAGCGTTGGAATCATATTTTTAAATAATTAATATATATATATATATATATATATATATATATATATATATAAATTATTTATAAAATATATATATATATATATATATATATATATATATATATTTTAATTTTTAATCAGATATTTGTATTACTTCAAATATTATTACATGAGGTACCAACGTGTTTGGAATGCAAATAACCCACTATAATTATGGATAAAAATGAAGTGTCCACTATAATAATGTTTTAATTAATAAAAACTCTCTTGATTCTTTAGGAATTGCTTTGTTTACTTTTGTCATACGAAAGTGATTAGATGTGGGGTTTCAGGAAAATAATCCGAGTGAAGCTGAGGTTTCCTTGAAAAGGACAAATGCAATATTGTTTGCTGTTATCTTCTTTGTGACCGAGCGTTGATGCCCGATGAACCAAACAGTGGTTTCACCTACATTGGGTTAAGTAGGTTTGTTATCTGACGGGGAACACATTTTCCTACTTACATAATCTTTAATGGGTAGGTAGGTCGATATATATTACACGCTAATAAATAAAAAGTGTGATTTCTATTTCAGTTGGTAATTTTCAACTATAACAACGTTTGAATAATATATATATATATATATATATATATATATATATATATATATATATATATATATACGTTTGTGTGTGTGTTTGTGTAATCATAAGTGTCAGTGTACACCCAAAATTATCAGTTTCTTTTGCGCCTATTCACGCAGATGTGAGGCAGTCAGTGGTTTATACTTCCTTGTTCAATACGTTTACAATGAAATCTTATGGCATATATATATATATATATATATATATATATATATATATATATATATATATAAGTTTCATTAAAGGCATTTTTTTATTTAATCTTTCTTGTTTTTCGCGTAAGTGTTTTCTTTCATGGATATAAAATGTATAATGTTTATAATGTATCTAAGAGATAATGTAAGTTGAATTTTCTCCTAAGAACATTATAATGATATACACGACTGCAGTAGAACAAGAAAACAAAATTAAATTAATTATCTACTATGAAAAATTAAAAACAGCTAACCTTATTATCAACAACAACAACAACACACCTGCACGATCATCTAAATTAAAGCACACCAATATTATTTATGTGTTCACATGTCCCTTAAGGAAATAGCGTTCCTAATCAAACCCAACTCATGAAGAATTGTTTTGGACATGCCACTACATGACTATCAAGAAGAATCATGTTACACCTGCTTGACCATAACTCAATTAGGATTCATTTAAATACACAGAGAAACGGACTAATCTTCACCAATAACATACTTGTAGAAAATACAAGTTTAATAGCCTCTTCTAGATGTAAAAAACATGTATGAAATCACTAAAAAAACAAGAAAATAACCCTTACTCTATAATATCGACTATGTGATGTCTGTTTGAAAATTGAAACATTCCTATAAATGTAGATAGATACATGAAACATCCATACATTTAGTTTAAATTATACATATACAGTGGCCAGCTATATATATATATATATATATATATATATATATATATATATATATATATATATATATATTTGGTTGGATAGATGTGAGTTTGTTATGTATATTATTTATATATATATGCGGTACTTATTAGAAAGCGCTCAATATCAGAGATAGAGCTAACATAATTTGGTTGGATAGATGTGAGTTTTTTGCTCTATCTCTGATATTGAGCGCTTTCTAATAAGTACCGCGCATATAAGATATAAATAATTAATTATATATATATATATACACTTTTCACACACACATATATATATATATATAGCTTACCACTCGTATTCGAGGATACCATTCTACAGCTCAGGCGCATTTGTGTTTATTCAACACTCACAGAGCTCACCTGTGATTTATACTGCAATTATGCTGAGCGGACCTTATTTAGATTTTCTAGGAAAGAGCGTGCTATTTAGCGTGATCAACAATCTGAGCAAAGCCAGCACGTAACTTTGTCCTAGCTCAGCTATCGACGGCATCAATTTCTCTCAACAAGGTTGGGTTGACTAGTGGTCCGGTTTTCAGACACTTTTTAAATTTGCCGCACGCTGGGATCGACACTCCATTCGGATAACATCAAGAAGATCGCCTTTCTGACAAATCGACCTTGGTGAGATTCGAACCCGGGTCTCATGGTCAGAATGCAAACGTTCTAACCACTCGGCTATATGTCGTTAAGATTTTACACAACTATTTTAAATCCTGGTAGGCCTTCTATTTCCCTTTGTCTCACTGTAAAGGTTAAATAAACCCTGTGGTCGTAGCTTCATAAATCAAATGTCAAATTAGAGATGTTAGAAGAAAGAAATGAATCGGATTTTTCATTGTAATGAAAGTCCCTTTAAATCAACATTTTATCTCCGTGTTTTTTTTCTTTTTCTTGTGTGTGTCTCTAAAAGTTGCTAATATTTGCCGTACTACGTTAAGCATGCGTAGTTCAGTAATATTTACTTAGTTCAGATTGCTTGTCACTAGGCGGAACTGATTAAGCTGGGGTTAGAGAGATTATATAGCGTCAGCTTCGTAGGTGGATAAGTGTAACAGACATCAGTATTAACGATGTTGATATCAATATGAATTGTTTCATTAATCATTGATGATAGTGCCTACAAAACAATTACGTCCACCACCAATTAGAAACTAACGTCAATTGATGTACTTTTCATTTTCTCTTTTTTTTAAATCGTCAGTAACATTTATTTATAAATAATTTTTATTTTTATTATAGGAAAATACCTTTTCCGTGTTTCCTTAATAGGAAACGGTTAATATTACCATTACATTTCATATTGTTCCTGTGAAGTCACTCTTTACATTATTTTTTTTATTTTTATCTATAATTAACTTTTCCGTTTCAATTCACCGTTATATTATTTTCTATTCAAGATTGTTTTTCCCTTCATTTTTCGCTCTTCCACGTTATCTGTCAGATTCCGCCATTTCTTTCTTTTCTTTTATATTGCATTTGTTTCCTTTTTATCTGTTTCTCCTATGTCTTTCTTTCTTTCTATTTTTCTTTCGTTCTTTCTTTCTTTCTGTCCGTCTTTCTTTCTTTCTTTCTTTATTTATTTATTTCTGTTATCTCTTCGTCTGTATTTTTATTTTAATTATGCATCTTTTTTCTTCTTTTCCTTTCATTCTTTTTCTTCTTTCTTTCTTTCTTTCTTTCTTTCTTTCTTTCTTTCTTTCTTTCTTTATTTCTTTCATTTTATCTCGCCATTTGTCTTTGCTTCTGTCTTTCCCGTAGTAATTTTATTTTATTTATCCACCCTTTTTATATCTTTATTTCTCCGTTTGTTTTTGTTTCTATCTATTCTTGATAATTATCTTTTACATGGTACTTCACAAAATACAGGAAATTTGGTACATTTTATTTACTTGCTGACATTTTTGCTACAATTATATGAAACAAAAGCAAAATATAGAAAATTAGTAGCTAAAAACTGAACAAAATCCATATCTTGATGTGGTATTCAAACTAAAGAAACGTGGCAAGTATTCTTGGTATTTTTTTCAGTCCCCAACTTGGATGTTCATTCTTAAAGAGAACAACCGCCTCGTGTTGAAAAGTTGATAACTGCAGTATACTGGAATATCAAATGGCTAAAAAAATATATTTTAGTTAATTGCTTTATTTCAATTATATAGTAACATATATAGTTATTTTTTATATATGTTAGTTATTTTTTCCCTTTATATAGTAAATCTGAAAGTTCTTGTTTTTATTGTGTGGGGGAGGGGCATCCTGTAATTATTCACCTGTTTTCTTTCTTTCTTTCTTTCTTTCTTTCTTTCTTTCTTTCTTTCTTTCTTTCTTTCTGTTTCTCTCGGTGTCCACCCTCTTTATTTTTGATTTGCCTTCGTAATATTCTTTTCATTCTCGCTTTCTCTCTCTCTCTCTTTATTTTTCCTCTCTCTTCTTTCCTTTTTCTTTCTGTATCTGTCTGTACGTTTCTCTATCTGTCAGTATTTCTTTCTGACAGTCTTTTTCTTGTGGGTAATTTTCTTTGACTTATGTCCACGTTTTTCCACTTTCTTTCTTCTTTCTTTCTTTCATGCGAAAACTTTCTCAGCTTTTCATCTGTTGAACTTTTTTCTAGACGGAAGTAGAATACATTGAAATGTTGGCTTGTTCCCGTTTCAGTTTTAATCAGTTTCATACCGCTGTCATCATTATGCTAAACTAAATACGTATTCAAATCCATTTCAAGCACTTTTGAACACGTTCATTTACATTTAATATCATCATAATTATCTTCCTACTGTTCATCATCATCAGCATCATCAGGTGCAGCAGTAGTCGTCATCACCAACCCACTACAGGATAGAGACATTTTCCCGAATCATTCCATACCATTTTCTTCTGCGCTCTTCTTTGACACGTCTTATCAGTAACCTCGTCTATTTCCTCCCTCCTCTTCATCTTCAATCTGCTTTTTCCTACTACCCTTCCTACCAATAGGACAGCAATCAAACTACATTTTACTCTATCTGTTATCTTTCCTTCTTGCTATGCTTCCCGCCCAACTCCATTTTAACGTTTAATCACTTCCATATCACTTATCTTGGTCTGTTCTCTGATCCATGCTGACCTGTTTCTATCATTTAGAGTTAGCTTGACTTCCCGAACGAAGATTTAAGAGGCTTTTGCAAGCTTCTTTCAGGCTCTAACGTGTCACTGCAGGCGACAAGTCAATAACCCACAGACCCAACCGGGAAGTATTAAGGTAGATTGCTGGTAAAAAAAATAAAAAATAAACCGGCAAATACACTGACGCTCACAGATACAGCAAAGATGAATTGTATAAAATAAAGTGAATGAAGCATTATTTCTCGAATTACAAACTCTATAATAGATTGATTTAAATAAATGACTATTCCAAATATGCAAAAGTTAAATAATGTGTGGGAAATTAGAATTATAAAAAAAATGACTGTGATCTAAGAAACTAGGTTATGATAATGGAAAATATCTGAAGTTTCATTATACCAGCGTAAGATGCCTTCCAAAAGCTAAAACAAGTATTAGGTACTAGAAAAAATAGTTAGAAACAAAGGAAAGCCTGTTGAGCTTCACTGTAATATCTTCTTCTTTCTTATTTTTTATGTGCCGTGTCCCTTCCGGATGTAGGTGATCATGGCCCGCCACAACTTCCTGTCACTTGCAGGTCTTAATATTTTTGTCTTTTTGTTATTCCTCCCAAACTCCGTTCTACCATCGATTTATTCAAGCTGATCAAGTACATTTCCCGTTGCTTTCCTTTGTCCATCTTTCCCTCAATCTGTCTTGTGAGTATCAGATTTCAAAAGCCTTCTTTCCTCACGTAGCCCCAGAAATCTCACTCGCTTCCCCCAGATGTTAAGTTTTTTTTTCCCTCCAAAACCTCGTTGATGCTCACATGTACGGTCCATATTATCAGCAGCATCATTCTGTAGAACATCATTTCTATTGCTTCAAGTCTCTTCTTCATCTTTGGGTAGATTGTCTAGCATTCGCTGCCACACAGGAGGACAATTTCAAGTAACAGTTCAGTACCCTTTTCTTTGTTTTTAACGAAATCTTTTTATCCCTTAATACTCTGCTTAGCTTTTGGAATGCATCTTTGGTTAGCCTAATACGTTTTTGGATCTCAGTGTTGCACTTTCCGTCTTCCGTTAGAACACATCTCAAATTTATATACTTGTCTAATTTTAGTATCCCCTATTTTTAATTTGCATTTTGGACTCATCTTTTTGCTGATAACCAAGCATTCTGTCTTTATGTAGTCTATATTTAATCCTTTCTTCTCGCTTAGCTTAGTTACATTCTGTGAGAGCTTTTGTAGTTTCCATTCCGTTCTTTCTGTCAACACTGTGTCATTTGCATCACTTATATTATTAACCCTAGAAAACTAACCATGCTTATATATTACCCAGCGTAAATTTTCCTATTTTTAATTACAATCTTCAGTACCTGATTTTCTTAACTAAACAATATGTTTTTAAATTCCTATTAACGTTAACTCAAAGTACAAAGTTTTTAGTGCCTGCATGTAAAATATTTCAAATAAAGATTTATATTTAACGTTTTTTTGATATTTTCAAATCAGGTATCATATACCCGTGTTTAGTAGTCGTGTAACTTTAATTGATGGTTAGTCTTCTAGGGTTAAGTTTGTGATCGCCAACAATAAATTAAGGACTTCTAATTCTCTCAGAATTGCCTCGCTGTATATGTAGATTAATCCCGGTAATTTTCCACGGAGACGAAGAGAAGACGTGAGGAAAAAAATATGTGGTTCAACAGAAGGATGCTGTGAATACCAAGGTGGGGGAATGTAAGCAACAAGTATGATTGAAAACAAATGGGAAAAAAAAGAGGACACTTGTTTTTAAAATCAGGCAAAATTACAGTCTATTTTTTCTGGACAACTAATGAAGAAAAAAAAAGGAAACAGCCAAAATTACAAACTACGAAGAGAAGTCATTTAATCAATCAAGTACGAAAATTTAACTATCAAGGTATTGTTTTAACTGAAGATGGAATATGCCTTCCAAAAGCTGAGCATAGATTTAAGTATTAGGAAAACTTCGTTAGTAACGAATAAAAGAGTACTGAAATGTTATATATTATCGCTTCTAATATATGACCGAATGCTGGATAATTCCCTCACAGATGAAGACGACTTAGAAATATGGTTCTACGGAAGAGTATATGAGCAAAGACAAATTTTTAGAGGAAATAGAAGTAAAAAAGATATTTATAGTTCAAATCAGAATGAGACAATTAAAATTTCTTGTGTGTATAATGAAGAAAGAGGGCTTAGATTATATGACACTCAAATAACACGCTGGAGGCCAGTGAGGAAATTAAAAAATAAAAAATAAAAATAAACATAGTGTAACCTCCGTAACCTTTTCGTATGTATATAAAAAAAAACAAAACAAGAATTGTTGTGTGGTAATAAGTACTGCATAGATTGATTAACTGATTTGTTTTTTTTACAGCTTATCAATCCTCATCAGGTTATTCAAAATCAGAATATGTCAATATTTTTTTGAGGTAATAAAGACTTAGTTACAAAAGTGATACTAATTAACCTATACCTGCGGGAGAAGAGATTGATTCATACCTTTTCTCAAGCGTAAGTGCGTGTAAGTAAACGAACCTAACGGGAATTGTAATTCGGCTCTTTGATTAACAATCCCCAGCCATCATCCAAACCACTACACACACATCCAAAGATACCAAATGGTCACCTTTCTAGGTACTAACTAGGCTTCACGTTGCTTAACTTCGGTGACCTTACGGAAACCAGTGTTTCAAGATGATGTGACCATAAGCCCGAGCTTACTTACAGCTATGGATGATACATAATAAAACCCTTCTTGATGAGGGAATATAATATCAAATTATATTAATAAAAATACAAAACATATATGTAAAACATATATTTGGTTTCTGTTTATTTTAAATTCCCTCCTTAACAAAAAGCTGTGCAACACCGAATATTCCACCACTTCGTTCCATTCTTCCCGATAGAATATTTTAAAATATTGATATCACACTGCTATAACTTTTTGGTGGCCTGCTCCAAAATCCGGACAGAATAATCTAGCTGATTCAGATTTTGGTTGAAGTTGCCCCAGAACTTAGTAATATTAGTCTTACAGAATTTCTTCACACAAGATCCTTTTGTTGAGCAGGTGAGTTTGAAACATGCCAGAACATATTAACTCTAGAAAACGTTGTAATCATCAACACCTATCATTTTCAAAAGGTTGTTGACGAATGGGAGTATCTCTGGATATTAAATCGTAATCATTTCACTTGATATTACTCCGTTTACTGCGGGAGCCAACGGTCATTTCGTGGTTCGAATAATGTAAGGTGTCTGAAAATTTTATAAGGACGAACGCTAACGGTGCAACAGTCTATCATGCCAAGAATTAGACATTTTGTAAGATGAGGAAACAAGGAGCAACAACACATTACGATCGTAATGGATGATCATATATGAATGAAATCTTTTGAAAGAGATTAATTAGAAAACGAGGTTCCGTAGAATATCCTCCTCATTTAACTGGCGTCACCAATTTTACCTTTTTTCTTGTGGGGACATTTCAAAGATAAATGCTACTCTACAAAGCCAGCAACAATCTTGTATTGAACAAGAATATAGACAAATACCTATCGAATTTTTCATTACATCTTGAGATTCCATTGTATGACGGTGGCAGCAACATGTGGATTATAACGGACATCAATTTATATGCATTATTTATATAATAGTTGGTCCAAGTTGCTTAAATTATTTCTTCCTAAAGCTTCAAAATATGTTTCATAAAAATGTAAACACATTTAACGAAAATATTCTCTGATGAGACCTTTACAGTGATGTAAAGGTTTTGTCAGAGAATATTTTCCAAGTGGGCCCATCATTCCGAATACTTTCTTACATATTTCCAAGTACATGGCCATGGCGGCATTCGGTAGGGTATACCTCGCTGTATAATATGTGCCTGCGTTCTCCTGCACTGCCAATCAAACGGTCTTTGCATTAACGCTTAGCAAAATAATAGTTTTACGAATCTCTGCATTTCCGTTCTTCGTAATCTCTGATTTAAGAGTGTTACGGAAATCACGCTTCAGTTGCTGAGTCCAGTCTGTTCGTCTTGATATTTTCTAAAAAAAGAAAAAAACCGCTATGTAATGTCACTTCTGGTATATACGCCATTGAATACAAGACAATTTCCTTTTAAGATGGAATTTTTGCCAATTGTTATAGTGGAACACACCTATTCTATAGTTAATAGACTCTCCCACCTATAATAAGTAGGAGTAGTAAGAGTAATAGTGTTATACTGGAACATACCTATTCTATTGTTAATAGACTCTCACACATATGATAATAGTAGTAGCAGTGGCGAAGTCGCTCAGTGAGTTGGTGAGTCAGTCGATGTCGGACATTAAAATATCAACCACCACAACTAGATTGCTGCGTCATTAACTATTATAACAAGTTTCTAAC